GTCAGTAGCACCTCTAGTAATATATTTACTGAGAAAAATGGTGACGTGTTCAATACTTATTTTACCCGCTGTATCTATAGTCAGGTCGTAGAGGCAACCGGTCCAGGAGAGAAACCCAGACCTCCAGCGACACTTTCCAGCTCCTCCTGGGGGGACCCCAAGGTGTTCCCAGGCCAGAGGAATACTTCCAGCAAGTTCTGGGTTTTACAAACATGACACGCTTTGAGGACCATCCTGATCAGATGACCCTCCTCAACTGACTCCTTTTGATGCAGAGGAGTAGTGACTCCGAGCTCCCCTCARATGACGTTGCTCCTCGTCCTCTCTCCGAGTCTGAGCCTGGCCACGCTACGGAGGATGCTCGTGTCTCGTGTCTGAGAKCTGGTTCTTTCAGTCGTGATCCACACCTCATGATCACTGGTGAGGGCAGGGATGTAGACGAACCAGGAAACTGGGAGCTTTGCTTTTCGACTCAACTCTTTCTTCACCAGGATTGACCGAAGCAACGCACTCATTACTGAGGACGAGGCCCTGGTCCGCCCACCYGCTGCTCCAACCTACCATCACTCAGGAACAAAACAGCTAGATACTGGAACTCCTCCACCTGATGGAGCCAGGTTTGACTCACACTGTGAGTGCAGACAGACTCACTGAATTCTGAGTGTTTGTGATGACCAATGAGTTGTGTTTCTGAACAGGGATCTCTCTTCTTTGGGACAAACTTTCAGCTCAGGGCTTATACTCTGTAATTGATCATGTGAGAAAACGCTACACTGGAACAACTGAAACGTTTAAATCTAACTAGAACGACGAGCTAATGGCTGGTCTGCGCGAGGCCAGGGCCAAAGTGGATCGTTGTAGTCCTGAAGCAACTCGAGGCCTAAATGTTTGAATRAAAGTTCATTCATTCAACTGTACAGTGTTGTTATTTTATGTTTCAGCAGAAATTGCAATTTGCTCTTGCTAAAAGTGCTGCTGATACTAAAYGTGTTTGTAAAACAAGTTTCTCGTTTGTGACGGAGTCGCTACATGTTTGTTCACAGAGATTTCACTCTGTCACTTATAAGAAAACACATGCAGGTCTAAAACACACACTGATGATAAATGACTTGTAAAAAAATGAGTACAAATCTGCCCGTCTTCCTTTCTAAGATGGACTCTAGCAAGTTAAATCATAAGTGTGCTGATGGCTGCAGAGTGGGGTATGATGAGGGGGGATTGTTGTTTTCAACAATAACAGAACTTTCTTAGTTTTACATAAAGTTTATAGACAATTCCTTCCTGCATCATGGTCCTAAATTTAAAAAGAAGTAAAAAAAAAAACCTCCTGAAAGATGAAGCAATAATTCTCTCAGTGAGTGCTCCTAATGTCACATCACAGAACGAGAATCGGACGCAGAATAAGTCAGACTTAGCAATTAGTTGTCAAGAATAAAAAATAACTCTAAGCTTTTAAAAGGAAGTTTATAAAAACATACTATCAGAGAATCCTTGTCCCCTGAGGGCARCACGGCGGTGGGTGTTATCATGTGGGCTCAATGAGTGCACAAGATAAAAAACATTATAAATCTTTGTCAATGTAAAACATTCTCAGACAAGAAAAATAATTTGGAAACTATTATTTCCTTACACACAAAAACCATGTACCCAGTAATATTTGATRGAAAAAGAAAAGAATCTGTCAGCAGCAGGGCGTAGCTGTCAGCTAACAGAGGGGTAAAAATGTCGCTCTAACACAAACTCAGAGCGCATTCCTCACATTTTCAAGGCCACAGTTCAGTAAATATGTCAACAGCAATTTAAGCTTACCACACCTGCTGCAGCTGGGGGGTAGAGGGTGGGCTCTGACCTGTGACCAGCCTCCTGTCAATCATATAATCCAAAACAAAAGATCTTTATCTTGTCTCAATTAAAATATAACCAACAGGCTTTAACTACAACTGAAACAAGGTTCCTGGACCTTTTTTTAATTATTTCAAATCTCCAGATTGTTTCGGCAACTTCA